AAGGGAGGGCTAACGAGCTGACAAGGAGCAGGTGTGAGAGGAGACAACGAGGGAGCCAAGGGGAAAGAACACACACACACACACACACACACACACACAAGAGGGCAACAGAGGACAACAGAGAAACATGAGAACTAACATAAATCTAGAAATTACAACAAAATAGGAATTAAACCAATAAAACTAGAAAACAAGGAGCAAAGTAAAGCACAACGTAACCAAAACCATGACACTTAGGGCCGGATTTATCAAGATCCAATATTTGCGTGCAGTAATTTGCGCTCGCAAACTGGAATTTTGCGCGAGGGGCTGAACCATGGTTTGCGGGTGATTTAACAAGAGCGATTGCGTAACTGGTGGCAGGTGCAAAATTGTTGGAGACGCCCTATTTAAATGATGGTTTTGCGCGTTTTGTGGTTTGCGGCAAAGTAGTTTGTAGTTTTTGCAAACTAGTGCATTAAGAAATTTAAATCTTACAGTGACACCCCCACCCAATCCCAAAGAAAATATATATATACATATATCCCTGCGATGGACTGGTGACCTGTCCAGGGTGTACCCCGCCTCTCGCCCAATGACTGCTGGAGATAGGCACCAGCACCCCTCGCGACCCCACTTGGGACAAGCGTGTAAAGAAAATGGATGGATGGATGGATATATATATATATATAAACTTTGGCAACCTTTATTCCCTAAGGTGGTATGTGGCTGGATTTCTACTTCACTGCAGTAAAAAAAAACAAAAAACAGGTGTTTTGTATTGGCCTGTAGAAAAATGCACATACCAAATGGCTCACAAGAAGTGACTGTGAATGAGATGACTGCGCGCACTTCTGAAAAACGAGATTGGGAGATCCCAGATGCAAAAAAGTGCAATGTTGCAAGGAGTTTTGTGATATCTGGTATTGCGTGGGTCCTCCTTGTGGCTGGCTCCAAATCCATTCGGAGTTCCCCCAACAGCTCCAAAATGGCAATGCTGGATAAACGATATGTTTTGATGATCGTTTCCTCCTTCATTCCAAAAATATTCACACGGAGTGAAAAAATGCGTTCTCTGCGTCTCCTTGCTTCATTTCGATGTCTCCTTCTTGCGACAATAACCGCTGCCATGTGTGTGCAATTACGCATACAGACCATTTGCACCTTCTTTTGAAACGTGTTAAATATAGAGTCAGATACCGTTTGCAAAATTGCTTTCAGGTTTAATAAATCACTTTGCGAGTGCTAAAAAAATATATTTACATGTTCTCCTCCCACAAGACGCACTTTTGCGTGTAAACGCCCCATATTGCATATTCATTGCAGAAAAAGTACTAAATGGATAAGAGGCGCTATTTAGCACGTTTTAAAGACCAAATCCTTTTAGCACGCTGTTGATAGATCAGTTTGTACATTTTTTAGCGTGCGCAGTGAAATAGCTCACGTTTTTATACACGCAAACCTTTGATAGATCCGGCCCATAGAAAGTCTTTCCAAAAGCTCTATCAGCAATCACCCCCCTGCAATTAGAAACTTGCCCTCCCACCTTGTCTCTCTCACACACAAATACCTCTGCTCTGATTGCCATTGAATCAGCTTTGGTTTACTTAAGTGTAAAACTTTATTCAAAAATACTTCCAAATACTAGTCATGTACCTATTTTTTTTTTGTTTAGTTTTGTTTTGCTTTGTTTTTCTGCCATTTCTCTTACAGTAAATTTTTTTTTCAAAACTTGTTTTCACTTTTACATATTTCTTATTTCCTTTATTACCTCTTGTCTGTTCTTTTTATCCTTTTACAATATCAGGGATTCCCTTACAGGAGATTAAATAAAGCGCGCAGATGCACGCTCACGACGCTACGGAAGCCGGCAGACCAAACCAACGCATTCAGCTCGGCAAAGAACTCATGCTCTTCCTCAACACTGAAGTCCTCAGACATTTTTCTTTCGTTGTTTCTTTCTTTGCAAAGGTAAACAGCACATTTCTTCTTCTACGCTTGCATTATTGGCAGAGCAGACGCTGAATGCGCACTTTCATCTGGTTTGGTCTGCCGGCTTCCGTAGCGTCGTGTGCGCGCATGTGCGCGCTTTCAGGAAATCCTATACACTACTGTTTATGCTCTAAAAACATTCTAAATGACTTCGTTTCGAGTAAATTCTGGATAATACCCACTCAGGACGCTTGGAATACATTGGACGAGCAATATGGAGGAATATTGACACGTTTTTGTGGACTTTTATGGACCTTTCTGTCTCGGACACCATAGACCTCCATTATTTGAATGTCAGCAGACAGCAAGAAGCCTCCCAGATCTCCAGATGCATTTGAGATATCAAAAAAGTACTCCAGAGTGTTGTTCAGCATGGGGGTGAGTAGAAAATGAAGGCTAATGTTGTTTTGGGTGTACTATTCCTTTAACAGCTTATTAAACTTGATGAACTCTATCACATGGAAACCGGTAAAACATTTTCCAAAGACAGTAAATCACATGAACAGTTATTCCCTTATTCAACTGTTGTACTTCAAATGTACTTCAAATCCTAATGTTTAATTTTCTGCCAGAAAGAGAGTTTGTAAGGTTCCGTAAAAATTCAAAAAATATCAATATAAAATTCCAAAATATTTTTGAATTATTTTTTGAATTTTTACGGAATGACTATGACCTGGATGACTGAGAACCTTCATCAGCAGTTTGTAAGGTTATGTAAGGTTATATATTTTTTTCTTTTTTTTTATTTCCAGGCTAATGCCAAACTTAAGACACGATTTTCTACACTTTCATATTGAGTATTGAGTTTAGACAAATTTTTGTACTCCCCAAAAAGTAACTGAAGAGTTCATATTTTAAGCCTGGAAAAAAAAATGACTATTCTGTTTTTTTAATAAAAATGGAACTTCATTGATCTCAGATTGGAGAAACTTGTCTCTGCATTTAACCCATCCCCTTGGGGAGCAGTGTGCTGCCATTGTGGGGCACCCAGAGAGCAAGTCTGTGGGAGTGGGGCTTGAACTCTGAACCTCAGAATTCTAACCCCTAACCATTAGGCCGCCACTACCCATAATGAGATACAAAATTTCTTTAGAATGAGTTCCATGACCAAACTGTAGAAGCTTAGAAGCTGAAATCGCAATCCTTCCTCTATTTTCAGTGATGACTTTTCTCCTTTTTTACAAAGATGGCTTCCTTTACTCCTCTTTCATACCATCTGTCCTTTATATCAAAGATCTGTACATTTTGCTGCTCATCTTTGGGATGAACTAGTTTTGTCTGAATGTTGTTAAGTTTGAAATTAACTGGTATTTTAAGGTTTGAGAAATTCCTTTTAAGTTTCTCAGAAACTCCTGACATATATGGAATTAAAATGTTTTTGCATATTTCGGTTAACTTAAAAATGCCAAGTTTGGATAACCAAATGCTTCAAGTGATTTCTTGACATGTGTCTGTTCTTTTCATTTCTCCTTTGCAACTGGGGGAATATTGTCAGCCGGGTAACTCTGAGTTGAGTTCTGATCTCAGAAAGTTTGTGTCCTAATGGGTGACGTTAGTTGAGCTGTATGTGTGTGTGTGTTTGTTTCCAGTACACCTCAGGACTAGGACTCATATTGTCCTTAATGTGCAAAGCACAGTCCACAAAAGACATGTCATTCTTGACATCCTCTCTAGTGAACTTGATGTTTCCGTCACTGAGTTGATCTAATTGGTGAATGCCTCAACTTCCTGGGTTTGGATTTTGACCCAAGTGCCATGCACATATCTGGATCAAAGACTAGGTAGTTTCCCCTTATATGTGCTGAGGGCTCTGCTCTCCACCTTCTCCACGTAGATATTCACCGTAAAAGGTGAAACTGTAGAGCCAATAGCACATATATGTTTCTATCTGTAAAAGATCTCCCTGAAGAGATCTAGTTCTCCCTGTGGTCGTTAGGGGATGGTCCAACATGTCACAAGACTGGTTAGGTGTTACGGTAGGTCTGTCTTCTATAAGGTACTTATATAGACCTATTGAACATGAAAATTAATAAACTGGATAATAAGCTTAATGTCTGCATCTGTCTCCTTGAACCCCAGTCAGCCTCGGCAGATGGCCGCTCACACCAAGCCTAGATCTGCTGGAGGCACCTTCCTGTTAAAATGGATTTTTCCTCTCCACTGTAGCTACATGCATGCTTGGTGTCTAGCATGATTCTGCCCTTTTTGGATCTTTTGGTTTTGTTTAAGTTTACTTCTTTTGTTTTTTATTTGCACTGTGATTAATTTTATTCTTTTATTTGTAGGCCATTGGTTTCATTTCCATTTTGTGTGATTCTAGTATTTTTCTGGTTTCATTTGAGCACTGTTGTATCGTTTGCTCACTGCTGCCACTCTCCTTTCCCTTAGCTTCCTTCTAGATCCTTCTGTCCAACCCTGCTCCCAATCTATTATCCAATCCATTCATTGCTGCATTTGACATATACAATTCTCATCTGCAGTTACAATTCGCTGGATTATCTTTATTCCTTAGGTTTATTCCCCCCTAGTTTTTGAGTTTCTTGTTAATTGGTTGTGGATTATGGCTCTTTCATAAAATTTAGCAAAACATCTCTCTGCCTCTTCATCTTTGCCTTTGGGTCCTCAAAAAGAATCCACTAATCCTGACAGTGTGGGCGATTGTTGTCGAGTCAATCAGTCGACGCAATCAGTTGGTTTTCCTTAGAAAGAAAACTTTGAATCAATTTGACTGTATGAGCTGGTTGAACTGTCTCTAAAGTGCCCTGAGGTGACATGTATTGATTTGGCGCTATATAAATAAACTGAATTAAATTTATAAAAAATATATTCATCACAGTTTTGACATATTAGTTGTTTCTACTCATAATTGAAATTCAATTGTAAAATTTAGATCCTTAAAATATCTTTAACAATTTATGTTCACAGTCAACGGCAGCAATAAGAATGACAAAATGTTTCTAGTGCCCTCTTAACACTAGCTAATATTCGTTAAACTTTAGAAAAGATGACAAAAAAACTGACTAGCAGAGATATTTAATTGGAGCTCATATTTATTGTATTTCATGTCCCCCTGAAAAAAAAATCCCATAGCAAAGGAGAAATACCAGAGCTACATTTCTGAACCTTCATGAAGCAATCATTGTGTTTTAACAGTACTGGTACAATCTTGAGGTTGAATAGATGTTTTACTGTGCTTCCTTGCGTACTCAGCATAGTTCTTAAAATGTGTCTTATTCTTTAACTGTCCCGTTAAGTAAGGTTTTCATTTTCTCAAAGATATATTTGATATCAGAAATACAATCTAATATAACTGAAACAGGATTTATTACATTTCTTCATTTGGATATGCCTAAATAATGCCCGCAGTATACTAACCATATTAAAAGAAAGTGGATCTGTTATTTTAAACCAGCTCTGATTGGGATTTCTAGGCATACTGGGCCATGGGGTGATCGGTCCAGAGAGGAAGGTCAGACAGTTTCTTCTCGGTGTCCTGTTTAATGGGCCATCCCCAGGCTTTGAAGAATCCAGTCAGGTTCATTTTAACAGCTCTGGAGAAAGTCTCAGCATACAGGTTAATCTTTCCCTCGTTGTCTCTGGGGTAGGTCTTCATTTCATGGTAAATTGCAAACACCTTTTTAAAGGTGTCCCAGCCAAATTTGTCCTGGAGCTGCAGTATGAAAAAAAGAAAAAATCATGTTTACATAGATACAAAGTCCTGTTATTTTAAGCATTTGCATTACATCCTGGTAATGTACCATAATGTAAATGCACTGTACAGTATCTTGCATATTAAAAATGGTATTTTATGATCTTAAAGTCACATATTATTTCCATCCGCTCACCTCCATGTAAGTTTCCAGAGCAGTCCATGTGTACCAGTCACTGAACTTTCTGCCCCCTTCAACGTATTCTCTGATGCATTTTTCTCTATACTCTGGTGTCACGTCATTAGCCTGTATAAAGAAGATTGACAGAAGTGATGAATGTGATTGAAATTTCTGTTTTATATCAAATACATACAGCCTTTCTGTTGCAAAACCCTGTATCTGGACCATGCTTGTCAACCTTGGGTTGCTAAAAATAGGGAGATTTTTCTTTCCATCGATGTATCGCCCTATGGGTAATTATTTTTCATTTCTGGCATTTTAAAACTGATGAAGGAACCTCGTTTGGAAACATTTGTTTCTTTGACATTCAATTAATGATTCCCAGGATAATGAAAAAAAAGGTTTAATCATTAAAATTTGTATCAGAAGGCCGAATAAAAAGGCAGTTAAACTGAAACGCATTAAGTATGCACTATTGCAGATCAAATTAAGTGTGTACCATTAACTGCCACCATCTAAAGGATAAATTGGCTGTCACCATGAAAAAAACCAAGACTCTTCTCTTCGCTGGCTGAATCAGACTTGCTCCTATGATTCTGAAGAGATGAAAGTTTTTCCTGCATTTCAAACCAGATTTGTGAATTTGCTGCTAAAGCAGATGAGAAAACTCTCCAGTTCTGGTTTACCCAAGAAGCAGCTGATCCCAATTGCTGTTCTGCCAAGGAGCCACATAAGGCCATTGTCCCGTGCCCCACCGGTTCTGCCTCTGTCTTGAACTGTGAAACCACTGGACCTTGACCCACTGATTCGGCTGCTGTTGGAGCAGTGCAGCCGCTGTCTGAGCCGCTGACACAATCTACCCCCCAACTTAAAAGAATCCCCACTCTAAGGCTGCTATAAGTGACAAAATTAAGCCCTGCAAAGTTTCCTTCTGTTGTTTGCATCAGAATACCTCAAATATCTTCGAGAGCTACAGCACCTGTTGGACGAACGGACTGGGCGCCTGAAGTGTCCGTAGAACGGAAGTAACCGAAGTAAGTCGGACCACGAATGAAACCAAACCCCCTTCCCCACCATTCTCTAAACCATATCTCATGCTTTGGCAAGAGATGGATAGAATATATATTTTACATTTTGTTTGTGTTTTATCTGAAAGAAGCATTCTGATTCAACTGCTGACAGTTTTTAAGTCAGAGTTCAGAGCATTCTGAACTGAATGCTCACTGAGCCTGACTGACAATCCATGTTGTGCGTTACAGTCTCCTTAATTCCTATTTTTCCCATTTGTTTGAAAAGTTAAGCTGTACCATTGGACCGGCTACCATTTTTAGCTCTAAGCTACATCATTGCCCTATGGAAGCAACCTTTTTATGAGTGTTCTAACCTTTTCGTTTATTCTAGCTGGCCCGCCTCGGAACCGGATATCCTGTGCCACCTAAAATAATCCTTTCCTTCCAGCGTCAATATAGTTTAATGCAGGGGTCTTCAACGTTTTCCAGGCCAAGGACCCCCAAACTGATGGCGAGATGGAGCAAGGACCCCCGAATTATATATATTGTATGAATTTGTGTTATATCAAACTGGTCCTATAGTCACTCTATTACAGTTGGAGTAATGCAAGGAAAGTAATTTCTTACTTTCCTTGTATTATTAAACTATTTCTGATTCTGATTCCTGGTTGATGGGACAGGTGTTGTGAATGAAACTGTGCCCAGATTGAAAGAGCTCCTGTGTGTCGCTGAATGTGTGCATTGATGACTGAAAGACATCCTCTGCCTCCATTTATCTGTTTACTACAGTCTGTTGAATTCAATTCAATGCAATTAGTGGAAAAAGTCTATATAAAAAGTCTAACCAACCGAAACTTTCGCAACCCCCATGCAGTACCTCCGCGGACCCTCTAGGAGTTGCGGACCCCCTGTTGAAGACCTCTGGTTTAATGCATCCCTGACTCAATTTTCACTGTGAAACTTCACCCTTTTGTTTGCATTTAATATCTCTGCATCAGAGTTATTCACATTTATCTGCTGCAGTTTTAAAGGACACCTTGAATGCATCAAGCCTTAAAACTTGTACTTTCCTCAGACTTTTGAACAAACTCTTAAAACCCCTTTGGTTTGCTTTTATTTACTTTTATTTTCAATAGTGTGTTTAGTGCTTGCATAGTAATTATAAACAGTATTACTGTGTGTGATTATTAACTAAGAAAGGCACAGTTGTACATAAGACTGTTCACATTTATATGCAGAAACCCTGCAAGTAATTCAGACGCTAGTCTGAGTTAACATTTTTATTTTATCTAGATATGAAGACGCATCTGTGACAGTGATACTCAGAGCTACAGTTTGAATCAGCTCCCCATTATTCCTCCAGAAGATATATTTGTGAATATTTTTAATTAAGGCTCATTGCAATTTGAACATCAGACAATAAAACTAGCAGATATGACTTTCACACACAGGACAGTCCCGATCAGCTACAGTCTTGATGAAAGACAGGCAGGGGTTGGAAACTCTGTTGTTTGAATTTTATGTAAAATTTCATCACAATTAAATAAAATGTTTATAAACAATCCAGCAAAACCCTACAAAAAAAACACTATGGTAGTTGTTACAGAGGCATCCAGGTCTGCTAAAAAGATAACAGGGCTGGAAGCAGGGGCACAGCCAAAATTTTTTTTACAAGGGTAGCCAGGCAATAACCAATGTACACTAAAGGGTGGCCGAAAGTTGATAGGTTCCAGAACCTCAGGGTCAATCTACACTATTCAAAAAGGAAAATAAATGAGCACAACATCCATATTTTCTAAATAAAGACAAAATATCCTTTCCTAAAGCCTTTGCTAAAAAATAGACACATATATTTAAACATCTTCCTAGATAAAGGGTATAGTGGATACATTTCTTTCAGGTTTGAGTTCTGGGGGGAACATCTTTAGCTACTTTGTCATTTGTTACTTTTATCAATAATCATTCTGCAAACAAATGTACATTTACAAGTACTAATGTCTACATAAATTGATTATTTAATACTTTTTTATTAAAATAGTTATCTATGATCTCACTGAATACTCCTATATGACTTGCAGAGACAAATAATTTTCTATTTACCCCATATAACACAAAATCTAGTTCTGAAAAGAGCATGAATTCTGCACTTATCATCTTTAAAGTCAGTATATTGATGTGCATAATTTACCACAGTGTTTTTGTTGCCAAATAAATGTTAATATATGAAAAAATAAAATGTTTTAAATATTCAACTTGAGAGTATTGCTGTTGCCACCATCTGTATTAGGGGGAAAAATGTTAGGGGTGGCCACAGGCAGGGGTGTAAATAATAATCGTTTTGTATCGACCCAACAGCCGACGATCCGATGCATCGACACGTCCGCAAGATAATCGATTCATGTTTGTTTTTTTCCTCCGGTCTATTTTTATCCATTTGCTCCTGGGCGTAATTCTCCCTCCCGTGCTGCGGTGGCGCTAAACCTATTTTGCCCTCCTACCTCGCTTCCTGGTTATACTCTTACAGCAGTGTGTTGCAGTAAGCTTGACACAGACATTTTTAAATAATGCTCAATATTGAAGCGTGGTCTGTGCTACACGCTGTGGGTCTAGATACGGCCGAGGCGGCGAGGAAGTGGGGGCGAGTTTAGTCCGACGACGGAGGGACATGAGGGCCAAAAAGAGCAGAGATCCAGGTGAAAAAAAGGGTCTCAGCGTTCTTGCACACCTCGCTCTTCTAGCGGGTCAAACTTCAGGAGTTGTTTTCCGCAATTTCGGTCATAAAAACAAAACAAGCCGGCCTCCTGTCTGCGGCACTGTTTGCGGTCAGCTACAATTTGGGAGAGGAGCAACGGAGCGTTACTCAAGGGGGCGGGGACGTCCACACTCTGGAGCCGAGGTATTGCATTGCACTAATTGCACTGATTTTGTGCAGTATTTTTGCAGTATTTTTTGATGCAACTTTTGTACTTCTGTTATTTGCTGTTGTTTCTAAAAAAAAAAATACATAACGATATTACAGCTTTTATTGATTTATTTTAAACTTGAAACTTTGTTTAGTGTAAAAAAAATAATCATAATTTAAAAAAAATTTAATCGATTAATCGAATCGAATCGTATCGTGGTGTATTCTTGAGTATCGAAAATAATCGAATCGTTGGGTCAGGAAATCGATACTGAATCGAATCGCCATGATGGATGTGATTTACACCCCTAGCCACAGGGGTGGCCAATGATTGGCTAAGGTTGGTTATGGCCACCCCTTGCCCCCCATCTAGCGCCGCCCCTGGCTGGAAGTTTGGTGGTCTTGTATGAAGAAACATTTTAAAATAATCAATAAAAACACCCACCTTTGCCCTGCTGACTCCTAGCACTTCCTCATTAATATACAGCGGCCACAGGTTACATGTTGCCTCTGTGGTGTTGGGGGGGAACTCCCAGCAGCTTCTCTGTTGGTTGTGTCCCAGTTCATGAAGTTCTCCCCACAGACCATTGGTCTTGATATACTCTGCGTCGAGGGTCCTTTTTGCTACATTTGAGTGCATCATGACAGGATAACCTGCATGCATGTAACCTGAAAGAAGAAGAAGACATCAAAAAATTTCAGTGGTTTAGGAAATATGCAGCGTTCTTAGTATTTCTCTAACAGAGAGGGTCTCCATCCAGCAGTTCAGCACTTAATCATGCCTTCATTTTGTCTGTTTTATCTTTAATTTGCAATGATTGTATTTTATATGTGTTGTTTGGCATGTCAATGTAGAGACTGGCAGCAGTCCGTTATACAGAGTATACCAGATATCCTATCATCTTTTAGTTGTTGAGCGTTCCAAAAAACTACTTTTGATTATGTTCCTGCTGGTCCAATAGCTGAATTAATACTGCAGCACTACTTTCTTACTTACTGTCTTGACGAGTCTTTTAGTAAAGCCTATTTATATTCATTTTGTGCCATTTACTTTTTTTTTTTATTACAAACATACATTATGTTATGTTTTACAGTGTTTCCTATTATTTTTAAAAGAAAGAATTTAATAGAAAAGCATTCTTACCCACAGAAATTTGCACATCAGCCACAATGCGCTCTTTGCGGATGAATTTTTGTGGAATGACAGCCAGATCTGCAACACCCTTCATGATGTCATTCCAGATTTTCCCCACCTCCAGAGGGCTCTCCAGGTCTCGAACGATGTGCGACGGTACAGTGAGGATGATGTTGTCAAACTCCATCTCTGCCCAGGGGGCCGGAGCTTTGCGCAGAGAGGACCAATCTGCTTCTTTTGTCACACCTGAAGTAACCACATGAAGGATGTTGTCTTGGAAACATCTTTAAAAATATGTTGTATTTTAATGAAAAATAAAGGCATAATATTGATATTTAAATAAAACAATCAGCATGAAATAAAGCTCCTTTTGCAAACTGAAAAACTGCTGTTTCAGCATCTATTTGTTGTGTTTTATAGCCTGCTTTTGAAAAAAACTGTGCATAACAAGATCTTTATAAATATAAGGTTCATAAAATATATATATATTTATCTGTGCAGTGGAAAAATAGTTAACAACATTGAAAAGGTAATTGGGTCAAATTCCTGTTTGGGCCCTTTTCTCTTTCATTATTCAAGATATTACTCTGTTTATTGATATCTAAATAAATGACTAATGGAGATTAACAATCTCACAATCCTGTAACGATAAGCAGACATAGCCCATAGATGGAGATATAGGTTGTTATTATATATCTATGTACACCATTAAACCAACTAGCCCCACCTATATCCAGTAGTGTAAAAATATTCTTTACTGTGGAAGTCTTCAACAGGGGGTCCGCGACCCCTAGGGGGTCCACAGAGGTACTGCATGGGTGTCGCGAAAGTTTTGGTTGATTGGAGTATTTTTTTTTTTTCACTGCAATTTTTTCCACTTATTGAAATGTCTTTAAATCCACATTAACATGAATTCAACACACTGTAGTAAAGAGATAAATGGAGGCGGAAGATGTCTTTCAGTCATCAATGCACACATTCAGCGACACACAGGAGCTCTTTCAAGCTGGGCACCGTTTCATTTACAACACCTGTCCCATCAACCAGGAACAGAATCAGAAATACTTTCATAATCCCAGGGAGAAATTACTTTCGTTACATGACTCCATCTGTAATAGAGTGACTATAGGACCAGTTTGATATAACACAATTTCATGTAGTTTATATAATTTGGGGGTCCCTGCTCCATCCCGCCATCAGTTTGGGGGTCCTTGGCCTGCTCTACTGTATCAAAAAATGTTTCTTCCATTTAATTTCCATCAGCAAAACAAATGAATCCCCTATAAGTCAAAATGTCAGCTACATTATTGAGATCCAGCAGCTCAGAAAGTTCACATAAAACAACGATTTAGCTTTTCGATCAGGTGTAACCTGAATTATCAACTAACATCGAAAAATCATGTGACAGTATCCCAGTTGTGTATTCAGAGTAATCAAGTAATTAAGTATATTTGAGTCTACTCCTTAGATCAATTTTGAAATAAAGAAAATTCCCCATATATTCCCCTTTTATTACATTTTAAATGTGCATGTTGTTATGTTTGAACTTCTATTTCAATGCTTAATGCTATTTGCAACTTTAATGCTTTGAATACCAGAGTTTCTTTCCTTTGGTCTGTTTTCTTTGTTTGTTTGTTTTTTTGCATGGTAAGCATATGGTTTATATGTAGGAGTTGGCATTTGGAAAGCAACCGTGAGTTCAGGTAATGCTAATAATCCCAATCAACTCAGAGAAAGACATGAACAATCATATTATGATGTATGTTAGTCATCTCAATAATATTTAACAATTAATTCTGGCTCAAGATTTCTAGCACACTTAAAGGAATAGTACACCCAAAACATGATTAGCCTTCATTTTCTACTCACCCCTATGCTGAACAACACTCTGGAGTTCTTTTTTGATATCTCAAATGCATCTGGAGATCTGGGAGGCTTCTTGCTGTCTGCTGACATTCAAATAATAGAGGTCTATGGTGCCTGAGGGAGAAAGGTCCATAAAAGTCCACAAAAAACGTGTCAATATTCCTTCATACTGCTCGTCCAATGTATTCCAAGTGTCCTGAGTGGGTAGCATCCAGAATTTACTCGAAACAAAGTCATTTAGAATGTTTTTAGAGCATAAACAGTAGTGTATAGGATTTCCTGAAAGCGCGCACATGCGCGCTCACGACGCTACGGAAGCCGGCAGACAAAGCCAGATGAAAGTGCGCATTCAGCGTCTGCTCTGCCAATAATGCAAGCGTAGAAGAAGAAATGTGCTGTTTACCTGTGCAAAGAAAGAAACAATGAAAGAAAAATGTCTGAGGACTTCAGTGTTGAGGAAGAGCATGAGTTCTTTGCTGAGCTGAATGCGCACTTTCGTCTGGTCTGGTCTGCCGCGGTTTCCGTAGCGCCGTGAACGCCGTTTCAAGAAATCCTATACACTACTGCTTATGCTCTAAAAACATTCTAAATGACATCGTTTCGAGTAAATTCTGGATGCTACCCACTCAGGACACTTGGAATACATTGGACGAGCAGTATGGAGGAATATTGAAATGTTTTTTGTGGACTTTTATGGACCTTTCTGCCTCGGGCGCCATGGACCTCCATTATTTGAATGTCAGCAGACAGCAAGAAGCCTCCCAGATCTCCAGATGCATTTGAGATATCAAAAAAGTACTCCAGACTGTTGTTCAGCATGGGGGTGAGTAGAAAATGAAGGCTAATCATGTTTTGGGTGTACTATTCCTTTAAGGTGTCTTAAGATTATTTACTCAGTAACAGGGTCAATTGGTTAAAGATTTGAGCCATTTAACCGATTCTAGAAACTCAATACACTTAAAAGCTGCCTTTCCTATCATTATATCGGACCCATTGGCCAAGTGCATGAAGACTCCTATCCCTAATATGAAATGGAGAAAAAGGAAGACAAACAAACCTTTGATGGGATATAAAAAGTGAAGACATAAGAGATAATGTGGGCAGCTCTTTGGGTCTTCAATAACTTCTATTCGAATGAACTAATACTCCAATGCATTTGCTTAAAGCCCATTAAATGCATTAGCTTATTAAAACATCCCTTTGTGGTACAGGTGCAGATGGCGACACACTCACCAGACTTGTAATAAGGAGCAGATACTGCCTCCTCAACCACGATTTCCTCCTCCACCTTTACGTCACGTGGCGCCAGCAGGTAGATGAGTCCCCCCCACATGTTACACACCTGCATCCTCTCTGTTGTAACGGGGAACCTCTTGATCACATACGGCGCTCTCCATAACTCCTCTTTATACAGCTCATCACTTTGACAGCCTATCTGGATCTTTAGATGAAACAGATCAGTTACAAATCTGTTCAAACCTGTGCAGGGTGGTGCTGCTCATTAAAGTTTGATTTTCTTTTTCAGAAGTAAAGTAGATTAGGTTTAATTGATTAAGTGCCTTTAGGTTCAAAATGTGCCAATTAAATACTTTTCTTTGTTACATTCAAGAACATGTCGAGAACAGTTTTAATTTTTTTTCTTTACCTTCCATCCAGTGTTAACAAGCTTTGGCGGTAAGATAATCTTTGTCTTCATGCCAGGAGAGAGGTACAGGCCTGTACTGATCCACTCCTCATTTTCTGTCACACAGATAGAAGAGACATTTGGAAGCTGATACTTAGAAAACTGTCTGATAGTTAAAGGTGTGACCTAACCTCCTGTTTGGGCCTGGATCTTGATGCTTTGGTTCTTGACCACAGGTACTGGATCGACCTTGATGATCTGTGGCAGAAGCTCCTCCTTGTTTAGAGAAGCCTCGTAGACATCTGATGCCAGGCTGAGGAGCATGTGGTCTTTGGGACTCTTCACTGAGATCTTCTCACTCACCTGGAAGATAGTTTATACAAATGTTTGAGTTTGGGGACTCCAAAGTGGTTTACACTACATTCAGTCAAGCAACGTTTTACTCACTGATGGTGGAATCTACGCTGTAACCACAGCTACGCTGGGCCCTCTGACCACCATCAGTGGGCAAAGCAGGTGTTTTTTCCAAGTACACAAAAAAACAGATGGACATAAATTATGTTATATACTGTATGCCTCATTATGACAGAGAAGTCATGAGATCAAACCCAGCTGCTAATGTTTTACTTTAATTTACAACCTTTGACTAAAGCAGAGCTGAGCAGAGTCTAGGCTGGACTGAAACAAAGAACCCAACAATTCCCCATTCCTAAGGGGCGGATCCATTCGTCAGGTTCAATTTGCATGTTTTTTAAGCCAAAACAAGGCTTTGTTTTGGTCCAATCTATAAAACCTCGAACTCAACGCTATTTCTGACATTTTGAATTGAAAAAGCTTCCTGGATGGGAAACGAAACGTCTTCAAACTTGGAAAAAAAGTCCAGTGGATTGTTTTTTAACTTTTTTGGTTAGACTGATAGAAAGTTTTACATTATACAAAGAGGTTATCATATCGGTTGTCATTGTATTGATCAATAGCTAGAAAGTAAATTTTACCCTGACAATAACTACTGGATCCATTAACCGGACTAAACAATGAAGCAAATATTGTCCTGTGGCCTATTTGGCATTTTATATTTTTGATAGGTCTAACAATGTAAGAAAGAAAAATAACTGTCTACAATTTTGTTTTCAATTGAAAGGCAAAGGTGAAAAAAACAATAGAAATCATCATTTAATCTTTGTTTTATAAAAATGCTAAATTTATGATTAAAAATAAAACGTTTTGGGGTGATATTGTTTATGCTCTTGCTTATAATACATTGTGGGGCCCATTTTCAGGTAAAATGGCATGTTGTCGGGACTGACTGCTTATGTGGGGCCAAATGCCTTGACCACACATGGAGAATTGCTGTTTCTGGGTCATGAGTCACGATTAGGTCTAAGGTGTGAATTAAGTTTAGTCAGGGGTTAGGGTTAGGTATGAATAGGAAATGGTTACGGTAAGGGTCATGGTTAATTAATGGAAGTCAAAGGAATGGTCCCTCAAAAACAGTGACACAAGTTTGGTTGTGTGTGTATGGTGGTGGTGGTGCAGGGAGTAAACTAAAAAACAGAAAAAAAAAATTAGGGAGATAATGCATTTGTTTTTTTCCTATTTAATATATTTTTTTAAATCTCTGCATTGGAATACTTAAAAAAAAGTCATTTTTCCTTATGTCTTCAGTAATTCTACAACCATAATGTATTTTGATGCTAGAAGGCTTTGATTATTTTCTGCACAACTTGGCTCTATTCTAATTTGGCAAATTTTAGCACATGTTGTAAAGCATGCACCAAACAGCTTTTATTTGTGCTGCCTTCTCTGGGCAACATAGAAGCTCTCCTCCAGAGCATGCAAACATAATGGTGCTTTTCCCTGGAATTATAATCACCTCTGAACATATATTGTGTCTACTTTACTAATGTCTTACCCTTAAAATAGGTTCACATGTGCATAGACTCTCTCCATTGTCTTTTATTACACCATAGTGCCTCCTTCTGGCCAAATTTTTGGCTCACAGGTTAAAACCTAACTTTAAAAAATGCAGATGCAGAAACTTTACCCACACTCACTCATTAATTTTCTGACTGTAACGTGTCAGTTAAAATGAAATACAGAGTGATTCATAGATTGTTTTTGATAGATCTTGTGCTGTATTTAAAGAAGTCAAGCAACTACCTTTACCTTTCATCGTAATGAAATCTCAGCATTATTGGAGAGCAAAGTTTAGATGGCACATTGAATTTGTGAGATGACCGGCTGCATTTTCATGTTTGGCTACAACAATCACCATAAAGCAACCTTAAACACATTTGACTGAGACATAATCACAACCCAAACCCACTAAGAGGCAGTAATGCACATTTAGCCATTATTTTGGTAATATTTTTGGAAATTTTTACATTTGGCACCCCGTAGCATAGCGTCATTGTATGATAAAATGCTCCACCCATACAAATTATGTCATGCTCAGTTATAAGGCTATAGTTTTGTTTTTGTTTTTTTACTACTTTCATCAAACATTAAAAATCAAAGTTAGGGTATTTAGCTAATTATTAATTATTTTCCCGGATGTAAAAGCAAAGATCTGCTGCTGCAGCTCCAGCTCTTCCTTGGCAGTTTATGCAGCTGATGTGCAGCTGATTCTATGTGTGGTGCATCAGATTCAGCTTATACAATTAAAAGTCTTCAGTCTCCTCTTTAATTCCAGTTGCTGTTACTAAGGTACAATAGTTACTCATCAGCGTGTTGCTTTTTATTAACATTGTAATATTGACCCTCAGTTGACTTGTTCAGATGCACCTTCATCTTGGTTTACTTAGGCTCCTTCTGTTGCACAATCATCCAGGCAACCAGCGATAAATGTGCCAACTGAGACAACAAGACCAGAATGTCCATTTCCTTTTTCATCTGCCGTTGCTTAGGTCTCACTATTTTTTCTAGATTTTAAAAGGTTTGTTTCAGGAAGTTTGTTTAAAGGCTTATTACAGACTTCATTATCTATAAACTATAATTTCCTTCAGTCTATCTGCATACACACTCTGTTAGAGGTGTCTGTGCTAAAAGGGAAATAAAGCTGGTAATAAAGGATATATGCATATGATCAATGTAAAAATATCCTTTTAAAAAATCTAACCAAAATCTAGTTAATAAAGGTGTGAAAAAAAATTAAACTAATTTGAGTGACAGTCACCTGTTTTGTATTTATATTGAATGTTTTTCCTTTTCTGCTTCACAGCTGTCCAAAATATATTTTTTGGTTGTGATTTGGAAAAAAACAAAGTCTTATACTAAAAGATGTTTTACCAAAACTCATCAAGTAAATAATTGGTAATTCTAAAGCTAAATAAATATATTGTAACCCACCTTGGGTATTCCCCCTTTCTTCAGGATGTCAGTCAGGAGCGACATAATCTCTACGTAGCAGAAACTGTCATAAGCCTTCATCCTTAGGAAGGAGGCACAATCTCCTCCCAGCCTCTTAAGATGCTCTTCATCTTGCTTGCTGAGTTCTGCGCCTTCCAGAACATATTCAGCAAAGCGATGCAGAAGATGACGGAACTGGAAGTTGTTGACCTGGCTTGGATCAGGAGCTTTGTAGACGCCTGATGTTATGGTTTCTTTCAACAAGCTCAAGCCCGTTTTGTTCAGGATCTTGTTTCCTGGAGAAAGAAAATATACAGAATGAAATGTTAACTTAGTCTTCTTTTTGATAAAGATGTGATTTTAAATTATGGAAAATATGTTTCTTGTTTTTATTGGTTACATATTGTATGTTGGTGGATGGTCATTCTGTTTTTCATAAAGTCAGGTTGATATTTTTACAGTAAATGTTTCATTTACTGATGTATAATCTTTGGACAGGCAGATATTTCAGTCAGCTGGTGGTTTCCTACGCTATACTTTGCATTTCTTTGCAAGTTATCATACAAAAAGCCATACAAAAAGGCTTGCGGAACCTGAACCTACGCCTAGTTCTCTGCAAAATTTAAAATGTGTCATAGATTTTTATAAATGATACATCAACTAATTTACTGTATGGTGCAATAACATACCTGAGAAATCCTTCATGGGGTTTTTCCCAGTGTTTGTTGCAGCCCAGTTCCAGACATGTCCCCCAATCACCAGTCCTCCTCCCTCTGCCACAAACTTTTGGATCGTCTCAGAATCTACGCTACTGTATGGTGGACACACAAACACGCTAAGATCCTGTCTGAACTCTGTGGTCTCACACTTTAACCCCAAGTTGGGTAAAGTCTGGATGCCCTGCTCAAATCCAACAACTCCGTCCCTGCCTTGGTCCAACCAATGGAATGCATTCTTCCAAAATGATGCCAGCTTCTATAAATGCAGGTAGAAGTTGATTATACAGAGAGAAAAAAAACACACTTTTTGTTTTGTTTTTTAACTGAGGTGTCTATGGAAAAAAGTTAAATCACATTCTAAATATTGAAAGTTTACATTTTATTATAAAAGTGTGGGAAAAAATGGGTAAACTATAAACCGCACCTCGTGTTGTAAGAAGCCCTCATGTGTCACCAAAATGACGCGTCCCAGCCCAAAGTAGGATCCTGCAAGGAACGCCTCTCCCTTATCCGTGGTACAGATGGGAAAAGCTAGGGGACCATGGACCAGAGCTGCAGAGGCAATTGATCCACACTGGATGTCAAACTCTGAAATCCCTTTCAGCAAGAAATCCAGATCTTCTTTAAAGTCCAAACCACACCTGTCATTATAAGAAGGCAGAGGTTTGATACATGAACGATTTTTTTTAATACTTTCCAAATTGTGTTGTGAAAAATTTCCAAAAATATGGATTTTATAGCACACTTTACAAATGAAAATAAGATGAAAAATAGACTTTCAGTGAAGCCACAGTTTACACTTACCGTACAGCTTTCCAGGAGGTTGGGATCTCAGGGTAAATGGGCAATTTTTCTGCTTTTCCAGACTGAGCAGAAAAGTAGATTCCTGCCACTGCTGTAACTTTATGTAACCTCTTCGGCTCTTCACAACCACTATTGAGCATTTTTTCTTAATATAAACTTTACGTGCACAAGTGCACTTTCACAAACAACTACAGGTGCTTGGTTCCAGGAACCTAGAGATTCACTTCCATACAGAAAGCCCATATTCTTATCTTCAGGTAACTCAGAATACATGTCAGCAATCATATCTAGGTGTTACTTTATTGTATGTCTCGTACCATGTCCGTTGGTTTTGCTGTTCTTTTTACATACCTTTGCAGGTGATGAAGCAGACTGAAAATGTTTTATCATTATCTCCCTTTCATCTCCTCTTTCTTTCATCTTTTCTCCTGTTTTTCCTTTCCTGCTCTTTTTGTGTTCATATAATCTGTAAAACTCCCTGCATAATTGGAATAAAGCAATATATATGCATAAAACAAGCGGAACACTATGGTGATAGCCGTACTGCTCCACTTGTGAAAATAAAATCTCTTGGGCTCTTTTTGGCATCAAGACAATTATTCTTATTGCCAGACAGGACACTGTTAAAAAATAAATAAAATAGTATAGGAGCATCTATATTCTCAAAATCACAATATATATTTGATATTGCTTAATATATGTTGGATCTAACTGCTTACAGAACAAGTAGATGTCACCAATTTCTTCAACGAATACATAGTTAAACAAAAACAACAATATGAAGAAAGCCAGCAAAAAATCTAACTAAAGAGAAATTAGGGATTATTTAAATTTAATAATATTGTGTCTATCCATTTATGGAAGATCAACTCAATATTTTCTTGCTTAGTTTGGATTTTTTTTTAAACTGTGTTGAATCTATGGGAGAGTTTGGATGTTAGCAGAAACAATAGTATTAAAAGAAAGGAAGGTTGTTCCCATCTGCCAGATTCCATCACCAGAAAGTAACCTGAGACAAATTGACGCAACCTTTAACTTTTGACCTGCGTCTTGCACCACCTCTCAATAAACTGGTCTGGGTCCCTGGACGGGCTTTTCTGAAAACTGGAAACAATACTGTATCTGTTGAACCATGCTTCAGGGTTTTCTCTCCAGGCCCTGGTTTTTTCCATCTTGCAAACAAACAGCATCAACAAATAGCAGAATCTACTAAACTCTGATCTCAAACTTCGTTTCTTTGACTTTTGACAAACATATCTGAAGACATAAAAATATTTTAAATTAAAAATCCTGGTGTACTTGTATCCTTGCCTCTGTTGATGCCTGCATCAGTTCGGTGAGTAGGCAGAGGGCTGTGTGGTGTTTACCTCCTACATTTTATTTGTTTTTGTCAGGGTTTGGTTGAAGTTTTGAGGACCCAAATGCAGAGGCGAGGAGGCAGAGATGAGTTCTTTGGATTTAATTGAATAACTCAGGCAAAAATCCAAAAACCAAAGAACAAAATACATTGAAACAAAAACCGAATCAACTTCATGGGGGAAAACTCCCACAAGGAGCCAGGAATATACTAGGAACCAGCACTGAGGAACTGCACAGATAAAATATATATGGGACTGAACAGAGGCAGGACTAATGAGCTGATTGGGAGCAGGTGTGAACAGAGTATTCTAGAAGGGAGCTAGTGAAAAGGAGACCAACACAAGAAGGCAACAGAGGGCAACCAAGAAAAACCTAAGAATTCAAATATATATAGAAAAACACAACAAATTAGGAATTAAACCAATAAAACTAGAAAACAAAGAAATACATGGATCAAAGTGAAACTGATTAATCAAAAGAAAAGGCCGTGACAGTTTTGCCCCTTGTGTTGAAGCGATTCTAAACATCTAATGCCGCTTACACCTGTGCACCTCCATACACACACATTCGCTTAGTAGCATTCGCTTAGTAGCATAAAACTTACACAGGTAGGCAAAAAAACTCTTCTTTTATGCCTAAAGTTGCTTTGTACTTGTGACAATGTAATTAAAATAAAGATTAATTATATTCTATCTTCCAAAGAAGAAGAACAAGTGAATATCCATGCAATGCAGTGATATCGATGGCTCTTGGTCTGTATGGAAGCTGTGTTAAGACAAAATAAATAAAAGCCTGGAAGTTAAGATTAGACAGGGAATAAAAAAATGCATCGAGGCCTAATAAATTTAATTTCTTGGTGCTTGATTCTTTGCCTTTCTAAATCTATCGTTGATTTGTTTGCTCAGCTTTTATCAAATAAATCAATACAAAATGTATTTAACAGCTGAAATAAAGTTTCTATGGTCTATAATTTACTTCTTGAGTTTTTTCGGTAGAGTCGAAAGGATGGGTCCTTCCTTTTCCCATTATGGCTTACTATCAGTAAACAAAGGAGGGTGCATGTAGACATGCATGATCAAGTGTGGAATGTAAGGGACAACCTTCAGGATAAATTAGTGCAGAGAGGGCGGGCTGTGGTAATATATTTCAGCTGTCATAACATATTGTCTTAGGGAAGGACTCGCATAACTTAACCACACAACCGACTGTTCTCATACATTTTCTTCTACAAGCCAGGAGCCAGAAAACCTTTAGTAATGAAACATGTTGAATAAACTAGAGGAAGTTAGAAGTTAGATTACCTAATTTGTAAGGTGGGCTATTCAGTCTTACAGGTGGGGACCTTATGTGACCTTGTTCTTGTGAAACAAAGACTTGAACATCTCAAAACGAGCAGAAACCAGCTTTGGAATTTTGCCCTGAAGCCCATTGGGGCCACAGTTCTTTAAAAGCTTTTACTACCAATGAAGCATTATCTATGCACCCAGTTAATGGTAAATCAATAAATCTGTCACATGCTTTTTGTCCACTTTGTTATTAGATATGCCCTATGGTGTTTTGTATAATATACAAAGGCAGTAAAAGGAGGTCTGTTTCAACAAGTTTCTCCTTTACCTTCCAACCCTAGCACACAATACAGAGAGCCCCTTTAACTGAACATTGGTCATATTGATTATTCAGATGCATACTGTACCCTCTTTTAAGGTTCTTAAAGTAAGTAAAGGTTGAATACTTGAGAAATCATGTTTGTTTTGCAAAACATTAAATTGGAGAAATGTTTGCCAAATAGGTGATACAGAACAGAAGATCTCCAAGTAAAATGGGTCTTGAAAGATTATTTTATGCTGTGGATTTTTTTTTTAACAAACAGAGTTGTGACATTGTTTTATAAATAAAAAGATATGCAGATAAGCTTTTGTTTTATACACTTCCCTTGCCCACCCCTAAGTTTTTTCACATACTGCAAAATGTGGAAAACCCAGGGTTCCCATCTATAATGGAAAACAGGAATGCGTAAAAAAAACTATTTGTGAAAAACACCTGGGTGAACTTTGCTCTTCGATGATTTTTCACTTGTGCTGCAAGGGAAATGAAACAGACATCTCTACAAGAGTAACGATTAAAACCTACACATTGTATGTGTGATAAGAATAACGTACCAAGATCTATGAATTAATATTTCCCATTACAGAGTAAATATATGTTTTTAATCCTCTGGACTCTGCTGAGATAATAGTACATTTAAAAGAAGGAAAGACCTTTTAATGCCCTCGTTGATGTTTTTCATTGTAAAATTTTGTTATATGTTTTTTATTTGATGTGCAAATCCTGTTTGATCAAGACTATTCAAACTAACCACTGTTAAATTTATTTTGCAGGTGGAGCTATGAACAATTAACCTGTGGAAAGGTTTTATGGGCTGTCTGTGGGCTGGAATCTGTGCTTCTTGGGAACCTCAAAATTGCGACATTAGTTGAGAAAGAGAAGAAACTTGTAAAAAGACCTGAAATACCGATGTGACTCTTAGCCACAGCCTTGGATAAACAAAGAGGACAACGAATCTCTTTGTTTATTCAGTTCTGTGGCCTAGAGACGATCTGATTGAATTAAGAAGATCTGATTTAAATAAAATTGTATCAGTTGTACTGAAGATGATCAGATTAATTTGTTTTTCAAGCACCTGCTGAGATATTTGTCCTTTAATCCTGGAGATGTTCAGTAGGTGATACACCAACTTTGCAGATTTATCTGATTCAAAGTGCAAGATTCCTTCTTTATTAGAGTTTTGCCATGACTCTGGTTCTGCTGGAGCTTTCTTCCTGGTAAAAGGGAGTTTTTCCTCTCCACTGTCGCTACAAGCATACTTAGCGTGAGGGGTTGCCTGCGAGTCATTGAGTCGTCGCAATCAACGGGTTTCCTCAGATAAAAAACTTTGAATAAATTTGACTGTATAATTTGGTCCTAGCTGGATTGAGTGAAGCTAGGGGGCGTGCAAGTGGCGCAATGGTTAGTGTGCACAACTAACCATTGGTCCTCGACGCGGCCGAATCCAACCTGTGGTCCTTTGCCGCATGTCTCTCCCCCTCTCTCATACCCCCTTTCCATGTGATGTTTGTGATGTAAAGGTATCTACTGACACTAAACAGCCACTGCTCTTCAAGTAGGATTCATCCACCCATCTTCTCCTGCTTATTCTGTCAGGGTCGTGATGGGTCTGGTGCCTATTTATTTTTTTTTTATTTATTTGTTTATTTGACAGGGACAGTACAATTAAACATTGCAACCAAACAGGTGGCCGATGTCCAAGTACATAAGGCTTGTAGCCATGGGCTAATTTGCAGCCTTCGTCCCTGGTTAGGCTTTTAAAAGGTGTTAGCATTAAGGGGGAGGGAGGTTAGTTACGACACACAAATGCATAAAAACACAAAAAAAAACAAAAAAATCTATCTATCTCCAGCAGTCTATGGGTGACAGGCGGGTTACACCCTGAAAAGGTTGCCAGTCAGTCACAGGACAACACAGAGACACACTATGACACAAAGCCAATCAAGGTAGCAGTAATGTTGTATGTTGTTTGTTGGACAGTTAGAGCCAAAGTACCTGTTCCTGTTTGGCTGTGATATCATCCTGGAGACAAATATCAGCTGTGCTGCTGCCATCAGCGCCTTTGTTTATAGATGTAGGAGCTTGGCCTGTTTTTCAGTGTAGTTCTGTTTCTCCAAGTGTGACTAACCGTGTGTGCTCTCTTCATCCTCTGACATGGGAGCTGGCTCGGAGATCG